GCGAGAGGCCGGCTGCCCCGCTAAACAAAGTTAGCCCTGCCAAGCCTGACGGCAAGCATTACAGGATCTCTCGCAAACGATTCAAGCGCATACACTTCGAACAATACCTTTGTCACTGGTTTCATTTCGTACCCAACTCTGCCAGTTTTGAACCTTATCTGAAACACGAAGCACAAACACAAGCCTCGGACATGTGCACTACTATTACGTGGGCCTAAACACAAGCATGGCCAAGTTATCCCGTGTTTCTTTGTTCCCAGAGCCACGTATCTGCAGACGAAACCTACCTTAGTAATCTTGTAGCACAAACATGAGGCCAACTCCCTCCTTAATTCTCGAACAGTCGAGAGGACCTATCAACGATGTGTGTACACTGCGCTACCTGGAGCAGGTATGCACCTGCCTGAAAATATCTACCTAGCTCGGCGGCCTTTTAGCCGGGCATCATCATCATCATTATTGTGAATCACCGACACACGAAACAATAGACTCACTTATTCTCAAAAAGAAAAATTGAACCAAAGGAAACTATGCTCGGACTAGCGAATGCTCTCAATTCAATCTGCGCAGTATAAAGTATCCACCATGCCTACTTCCCGTGGTCTCATTGCGTACATCACTCAGCGAGCGAGAAACCCAACTGATTTAGTATCTACACACAACTAATTCAGGACCTGGAAAGTGTATTAACATAATATAGGCTCGAGGCTACTTCGGAGACCAGAGGTTCCCAAAAACTTTTTGCCTACATCAGGACCCAGTAGGATACCGGAGACCGAAGAACATTCCAGAGGCTGTGTGAACTACTTGGCTTAAATTAGCTATCTGACCAGGTCAATACGGTGCAGAGCATCATCTCATACGGAGTCCTTCGTTAATTTACATTCTACTTGTCGAAGACCCCAGCCGCGTTTCACAGGTTATTACCCTGAAAACTGGTATAAATCTGACTTTGGCGATGTCAGAAAGAAAATCACCATTGACTATTGATACTGGCGTGACGTCTAGTAGCCGTTCTAGTTCCGTTATGCACTCATGGCCTGATAGGCGGAACCTAACGAAAGAGGTTAATCCGCTGGAAGTTGTCACAATGGCAGATTGCCCCGCCCCACCCCCACCTGCTTCCCCCGTGCCAGACATTATTATTCCTAGTCTTACTCGAGAATTGTTACAGAAGCCTCTTGAGAAAAGACGGGTGCAAGAGTACCTTAATTTCTTGAATTCTCAACTAGCAAGCTCTCCAAGACCCCTAAAAACGGGCCGACGACGAAATGTGCTTCATGAACTCCTCTCAACTTGCTTTCTGCACGATCTCCACAGGGGCATCCTCAACTGTGAATCAACATTTAAAGTACTCTCTAAAGTGGCTCTTGCTTGCGGCGCCACAGGCGTGAAAATAGAGGATCCGCGTGCCACTCCATCGCCCCAGGTTATGCTTGAACTTCACGATCGCCTTCGCCGATGGCTGGCTGGTGGTTCTAATGGCGTCGAAATTTTTCTCGTCCGGCCATGCGATGATGGAAAAAAAGGCACCGATAGGTCGAAACTCTATTGGTGTAGGTCGGTCTTTGATATGCATAGCGGTGCTCCGTGGGGCTCCATGAAGCTTAGGACGATAAAGAATATGGACTTGAGGACACATGGTGCTATCTACCTTCCCGAGTGTCTGTTTTACGGGTCTCCGTCTTGTCCAGCTACTGGAGCACCAGATGAGGATCGCACCACAACCGATGTTCTCCTAGCACTTACTTACTTCCGTGAGGTGTGCCGTGCTGTCGCAGTTTGGGCCGGACCAGTGGATGCAAAAGGAATGAAGATTACCCGTGGGGGATGGTGGACTTGGGGTACTGAGGGAGTTACTCAGTCTACTGACATCAACCTTATCTACTCCCTGGAGCGTTACCTCTTCTTACATAACCGGATCGTTGGACTTGTGGCCCCAATCTCTTCACCACGACCGTGGGTAATGAAACCACCTTCGGAGCGCGATACCCCTCCTCCTCCAGAATATGCAGCGGCCGTACCTGTCTCTGCACCCCCTCATGCACCTTTTGCATATTTTGGGCACCTTGGGTCTAGCAATCATTGCCGGTGCCCACCTCTGAACCATCCAGGCCTTCATCACCGTATCAGCGCCACGGCAGTGCATGCTTTCCTCAAAGACACTTTCAGTGATACCTTTTTCCCTGGAAAACGCTTTGTTGATATCGATAATGACTTGTCAATGGTTTACAGTCCGGAATATCACGCACGAGCACCGGGGAACCCGGTATTGGAGGGTATGACAAAGGGATGGTTCCCAACTGGACCTGAATGTGTCGGTGAACGCTGGGAGGCAGTAGAACTTGAGATGCTGCGGCATTACGATCGAAGTTGTTCGTAGCAGGGGTTGGATGGCATAGAATGATGGAGGATGACTCAAAGGGGAAGTTATGATAGTATGTAAACCCGTCGCTCTAATCATGCATGCTTAGACAGGACTGGGGTGGGGATAAGCGGGGTGATGTGAGCAGCAGACAGGGTAAGGGATAACGGGATCAACACTAGGACCAGGTACTCGGGAGGCGGTTGCCAACATGATGCATGGTAAGTATGTATCACGCTTATCATGTTTTTACGTTGCCGATTGTCCAACTTATTTTGTGTCTTAGAATGAAGGCTATGTATGGGCGACTCTCTCTTACCCGTTAGTGCTTATGAATGATTTGTTTGTTTCAGTTTGTTCTTTGTTGGTTTGCGAATTGAAAATGAGTTTCAATACTTGAAGTTTCATGGTTTTCTCATTGAAATGTTTAGGATCGCATATATCCCCCCAAACAGACTATATAACTATACCCGTATTATAATCATCCCTCATGCACATAACATCAAGCAACACTGATAGAAATAGATTTTTTTTCCTTTGTCGTCCAATAGTGGACCGTATGCTAGGTACCGTATGCATGCTGACGAATGTCGGGGCTGTGCTTCAGGCTAATTGAAGGTGCTTTAACAGTCTATTCTAACGCTTTTTTCTCACATATTTTGCAAGCATGGTAACCTCTGCATGCAAATGCATGTCAACCTTACTGTACATATACTACTTGATTCCTACAGGCTGTGGCCATAGTACCTTTGTGATAAAGATAATCTATAGTATCATCATACAGTCAAACCTGTCATATTGGATGAACGTCACCGGGCAGAGTTTGAGCCGGTGTAGATTATTGGATAGATAGCATTTTTTTGCTTTGCGGATTTACATAGTAATTGGACTTGTCATATTGGATAGCCCGAATAGTAGCAAGGATCATGGGATTGAACCAACTGTCAGATCGCAACTATTCGGCACTGCAGATCTTATCTTCTTGACCATTTAACAGATATCTCCGATATCTAAACACTATTAGAGTTGCTATTACATGCATACAAAGTAGTGTCTGAAATGTATGCATGTAATGTCAAAACTGAAGACTCTGATACTGTCAATATTGAAGTTGCTGAATTTGTGAATCCAGCTGAAGAGGTAATTTCGGATACAGAACAAGTGTCATTGGATCACTTAATTGATAACGGCAAGAGGTTATAGCTGAAGACTCAGCCAATCAAGACCAAGACAACTAGAGGAACCTGAACTAGTCTCATATCTTAAAACAGGCAATGAATTGTCTGTGATCAAGCACTTCATCCAACAAAGCCCTGGGTCTTCAGTTACAGAGAATGAAAAAGCTGCACTTGCACTTCAGCACCTTGAAAAGTACTTGACTTTGCTGAGCTTGAGGCACCCTTTGAAATAGGTACTGTAATTCACCGCTAAGCGAGCTACACCGATAAACGAGCACCAAAACTGACCATTTGCTAGATCATATATCTCTCCACCACCATTAGAAAAAAACCCATTCATGTGCCCCTTCTAACACGGTCAAACTAAGAGCCACTTCTATCCCGCACCTTCAATTCCCTAATTTTGTGGTGGCTGAGGAATTACGGCTCCGCACATTTTTTGCATGCTTCTTGGCATACATTTTTTTCCCCCAAGTAGTAAAACTCTAAGGTCTGCACCCTGCAATAAAATTAAGTAAAATATTCAGATTTGTGAATATAGTTATTCACATTCTATGTAAAAGTATAAAACGAGCAGCGACATGATTTCTGCAAGTGGCTGTGAAGATATTCATAATATTCCCTTTCTCTTAGAAAACAATTTGTATGTGAATAACTGCCAAAACTAGGTATTGGGATTCTTGCATTTCAATTGCTCAGTTTAAATGGAGAAAAGTATAGTATATCAATCTACTATATAGATAAGGCTCTTCAGTCACAATTTCAAGGCTGTTGTCAGTGACACAATTGGGAGGCATTGCAATTGAGTCTGTAAGTATTTTGTATGAGGGTCCCATATAAACCAATGCCAAGATTGTGGGAAAATGCGATTATATGTTAGTTCCCAAAACTATGTTTTGGTGAAGACAAATAGGCTGAGAATAAAAGTAAGTGGTCCTATTTAGTTTACATGCAAACTGCATAGAGAATTCGGTGGTGGTGGTGGTGGTGGTGGTTCTGCTTTGCCCTGTGGTCAGTTTTGGTGCGGAAGTGGACGCGTTTGACGGTGGCTCGCTTGGGGTGAATTGCGTATCTATTACCTCTTATTGTGCTTCAGTATAGGTTATGAATCACGTATGTATCTGCTATAGTTCTGAGTGCATGTTTATAGCACAAAATTGACCTCTCCACTCCAACCTCTCTAGGCGGATATCATAACCCTCCGGTCCCGGGTTATCCAATATAACAGGTTTGACTACAGTAGGTCTGAAGTCCGTGAACGTTGTTGACATCTTTCGCAGTCTGGTTGCAACAAAGCAACTAGGTAAGACAGTCACTACTTGCATTAACCAAATATCTCAACGCCTTCTAGAACGGTTTCAAACCTCATTAATTAAAACGACGTTGAGTACATCAGCTCCCAATCCGCACCACCACATTCATATGTTTCAGAGGCAAGACCGCTGGCCAACTACTCTTCTCCTGTGACGCAGTGGTTAGCGTATCGTTCTTATATGTTGAACCCCGTTCAGGGATCAAGTATGACCTTAGATACTTGCGACTAAGGGATGCGAAAGTCGCCGGTTCGATCCCGGCCAGGAGAAGATTACCTTTTTACTTTCCCTCTATTCTAACAGGTACTAGGGGAATGATTTGATGTGATGAATCCACACTTCTCTGGACTTGGACACTAATGTGCGCTCAGATGAACAATGATCGTCAGTCACTGCTTGGTCGCATCGAACATGGTCACGAGGCTAACTATTTTACTATTATTGTTTCGCATCTCCCTCCTTCCCTCCCTTCGTTCCTGCATAAACAGCTGCACTTCATTGTGATCTCCGCATTCCTGCATTCCACACATTCGCTTTTCCCCAACTTCTATGTCGTAGCTACTTGGGCACCTCGGAGATCTCTTGTCAGAATGACAAAACTGTCATGCACTCATCACTTTTCTAATTCTGGCATGCACCGCATGCACCAGGGTACCACGTGGATATTTTATCCAAAACTGCGAAGTATCCAAAGGGTGCACACAGCATCAGATGGGTCATGCTCTTCGATATCATGGGATGAGGCGTAAATGGTGGTAAAACAGCAAGGGTCTACATTTCGACGATTCAGCTTGTGTGCACAGATATCTACTAAATCCAGTCCGTATAGATTGTTTCGGAGTGAGGGAAGAGGGATTCAGCCTTATGACCTAGGCCTGCTGCAATAGTAATACAGTTTGGTATTTCTAGCCCTGTATATCTTAGTAGCCAACAGAAACATCGCACTCCAGCCACTTGTCATAATGCATCAGGTGTTCTGTCCTTTCAGATTCAAACATACCTATATACGGTACGAGTTACAGATGATGACATAGAGCTGCCCGAGTTTTGGAAGAATATAGCCCCTAGTACTCGTACACCAGTGGCACTTTCAAAGGCTATGATGTCATACATACTCTTGGCAAGTAGAAGTGGCTTTCGAGTTGAATGGGTTCAGCAATTCCAACAATTGGCAACAGTGGTGGACAGGTAGACCCATTAACCAATGGTATCTATTGGCGTATGGGTCAGAACATTGCCTGACATTGACGCTTTTGTACTATGTACATACGACGTACAAATTTAAAACCTGGGATTTTCTTTGATGCTGTCTGTATATACTCTAGTATACAAGGGACCGTCCCTCGGCTGCATGGACTATGCAGCAAGAGACACTTAACCACTTACTTGAAGCTGGAATACTGGCCATAAGACATTCTCCCACCAAAGTATTATACCCAGGAAAACAGGACAAAAACAAACACTCTGTGAAACAAAGAAACTAAAAAACAAAATGCAAAAATACTTGAAGAGTTATGATCGCCTCGACAAGCCATTTATGTAACAACAACTTGAACACTTCTTGGTGATAAGTTCCGTGAACATGAACGTATTCTACAAGTGCATTATAGTCTCATAATGTATACAATGGCCAGGTTCGAGACTGAGGAACGCCAAGGAAAAATAACCTGCTAAACTGCAATCCTATGTATTATAGAATAGTAGAGCAGGCAGGATGAATGTGAGCGCGGTAATACCATTGACCCTCGCTTGGTGAAGCTCGCTGCCGTTACCGCTGGTCAGTCGACTGAAGGCTCCAAGGGAAATAGGAGATCGTGGAGGGGAAAAATGTCTCATAAATGGCATACAATCCTGCAGCTACCATAGCCCTTTGACTGGACGGTCGAGATTTAACGTCGCGGCTGGCTTGATGTCGTTTGCAATGTCATCAAAATCAAAAATCGTGGGGTACTGGCTCCAATGCTACTAGATTGTGGAACATCTATCACTCTTGGTATTGACAAAGTGCTTTCCCAACACGCAGGCTGATATTTTACACATGGTCATAGGCATGAGTGGGCGCAGAGATTGTACTTGTAACATAGACTGAAACCCGCTACGATGCGTCGGTGCGAAGTGGGATTGGAAAATATTGCTGGGACTGACGTGGGAGTGAATTCCATCTCGCTGTTCGCAAGCGACGCTTTCACGTTTGGGAATAAAGATCGAGGATGATAACATGGACTGCATAGTGTAAGATTGCGACTCAGTTTAAACGTGTGATCCCACAGCGCCTGACGATGTATTTTAAAGACCGTATAGCCTAAACACTCTTGAAATATGCAGCCGCAAAACAAAACGCCCTCAGTCTGCGGCTATCCACCCTTATCACACTTCCCTCTTGGTATCTACGCAACAATATCCTTGGCCATGAGGTGCAGGACCTCCGGTTCTGAGAGATGCAGAATTTTGGTCAGTATTTCAACGGAGTGCTGTCCAAGCGTTGGTGGCGGGGCTCTGATGCGTGGTTTAGATTCTGAAAATTTTATTGGGGTATTGATGAGTTTGATAGGACCGCAAGTGGGATGTTGTATTTCATGAATCATGTCACGAGCAAGAACTGTCAAAACTTGGTAAGCAGCAATGATTTGAATGACAGGGCTCTCTGGGCTCCTGACCATGCTTGTGGTTAAGGCTATCCTGAATATCATTGATTGCTGCATATGGCATCCCACTTCCATCAAATATCTGGAGCCATTCCTAGAGATGGAAAACCGGGAGATCAGCTCAGGTGCAAAGTAGTGCAGGAATCAGGGTGTTACCTCAGTTGTCTTCTTTTTTGTTTCTTCCGCAATGAGAGGGATTAGTATTTCCCTATTTTCCACTCTTTCTGCATTCGTGAGGAATCTTTTATCTGTGATCCACTCCACTTTCCCGATCCTCTCGCACAAGATACCATAGAGTCGGTCGTTGCCACCCCCCAGAAGAATGTTCCCATCCTTTGTTGGGAATGCTTCATAAGGTACTATGGAGGCTGTATGCTTTCAGGCATGTATTAGTGTAGGAAGATGGGCTAAATGCAACGGTGGGAAAAGTTACGATGTGCAGTTCCATGTCTCCCACTATCCCGCTCCCCAGAAATTAATGCAGATGATCCAATGTTTGCAAGCGTGGCAATTTGACAATCTGAAAGTGCCGCATCTATGTGCTGGCCGCGTTGGGTAAACATGCGTGCATAAAGCGCAGCTAGAATGGAGTTTGAAGTATATAGACCAGTGGTCAAATCTATGTGAGAGCATCAGCGGACACTTCGCATTGTTTGTGGAAGGTACAAGGACGGAGGAATTACCAGTGACTGCCACACCGACTTTGACAGGTGGACCATTCTTTTCGCCGGTAATATGCATTAACCCCATTTCTCTGAAATCTCAGTTAGTTGGTGATCATGGCCACTCTTGGCCCGGTGAGGACAATGAAAGGTAGGAAATCATGAGGCAATGGTATACCTACGCTTCTACCATGACATCATAACCTGCCCTATCACGATAAGGCCCTGTTTGTCCGTAGCCAGTGATGCTGGCGTAGATAAGTTTGGGGTTGATGGTTATCAAAGTTTCAAAATCCAGCCCGTATTTCGCCAATGTTCCTGGTAGGTAATTCTCAACAAATATATCAGACTTTCGGACCAGGTCTTGTATGATTGCTGCGCCAGCGGGATCCTTGAAATTAACACCAATGGACTTCTTGTTCCTGTGTGGCAAATTGAAAGAGGAGAAAAGGATTAGCGCACATGATGAAGGTTCGCATCAAGAGTGAGATCACTACCGGTTGACCTGGAGCCCTATCAGTAGTCTGACTACAGGATATCGCATTGGAGAGAGCCCAGTAAGAGTTACGCACAGCAAGGAAATATGCACTTTCTCCAGGATCGCCTTTTGAGTCTTTAGTTGGTGCGTACGGCGGGCCCCAGGCCCGTGTGTCATCCCCACGCTGGGGATGCTCAACCTTAATTACCTCCGCCCTGTAGTATACCAAGTATGTGAGATATTGACCATCCAAAAGAGCGTGAGACTCAAACTGTGTACCCTAGGTCCCCAAGAATTTGCGTACAATATGGCTAGATTAGCCAGAGATTCGGCATGTTAGTCTCGGTTACCATGGGAGTTATCGGCAGTCAGTGAGGATGCCCATGACGTACACCTGCCAGAACACGGGTCATGTCGACAACTCTGATACCATCCAAAGGAAGCGCGGAGGAACCGATGCGAGAAGCGGCGTGACTGGTTGCGACATGTCTGTGGGATAAGTTTTGCGGCGAGGCCCTGCAGAAGCGGGAAATGTGGACTAGGGCAGTGGGTCGAGAGAAAAACGTTAGCATTTTCGGAGGTGTGGAATTAGAAATTGCTGGTAATGATTGTGAAAGTTATGGGGAAATTTCGAGCATAATCGGCGGAATGGGACAATAATTTGTGGGGTAACAGCACACAGTGAATGACGTTCGCAAAGGGATTGGGCAAATCCGACGGAGACATCGAGGTCTCTGGGATCGGTAAGTATGCAGGGACCAGCATGATTGCGAAAACCGGTTAAACCGGATGAGGTTGATGCTGGTGCACAGAGTGGCGACCTTATAATAGCAACCAAGTGTGGGAGTGAAGAGTGCTAGGTAGCATCTCACCATCAACCCCAGTTACGAGACTACATCAACCCAAATAAATTGACAGAAGAATAAGAGGAGGACTATTCACTGATGCATGCCAAGTGAGGATCCTGTAACTGTAGCTTTCGGGCAGTCTTGAACCGCTTTCGGGTAAGTAATGTCTGACATTTTGCGCTATGGTGCCGGAAGTTAAGAGCGGGCATATTGTAACATTGCGAGCCCGTATTAGTAAGCAGCACCATATGTGTCAATTTGCTGGTAAGAATTGTGAGCAATTCGCACTTTTCAGGTCGCTTACCTGGTCGCAATCTACTGTGCACGTCGTTTACTAGCAAATGAGCGAGATTTCAGAGAGCAAAAGGGTAAGTTACAAGAAATGATTGAGGCACAGGGACATATTGTTTTATTTTACCCTCGATTTCATTGTGAAATGAATTTTATAGAGCTATTTTGGGGTGCAGCAAAAAAATATACTCGTGAGAACTGTGAGTATTCTTTAGCAGGTTTACGAGAAATGGTACCCAAGGCTCTTTTTTCTATTTCAGATATCTCTATTTGGCGTTATTATAATAAGTGCCTCCGTATTATGCAGGCGTATAAAGATGGCCATCAATATGGTACAGAGGCCTTT